ATGAAATAAAGTAAAAATTGTCTAAATTGACTATTGTGCCTACAAATTCCTCAAAAGTGGGTCTCAACAAATTCTGTTTTTCTGATGCGAGACGTTTATTTTGAACGATGTGCATAAAAAACCGGTTGACTTTTCTGTCAGAGGCTAACGTGACTCCCCATCACTCTGAGTCCTGAGAAAAAACACTTTGTACCTGATTCAGTATCTGCTGTCAGATGAGATGTTGTCAGGCTATGTCAGTGTCATTATTCTAACGTTATTTTCGTAACTTATTTCAAAATAAAATTTCCTCACCTCAGAAAAACGTCTCAGGTTACGACTGTAACCTATGTTCCCTGAGAACAGGGAACGAGACAATACGTCGAATGACGCAATGGGGAACACCTCAGGCATGACAGGTGTCTGAAATCAAATATCAACTCACAGTAATCAGGTTGACCGGCGACAGCCCGTGCATCATCAGCTTGAATGATGAGCGCGTCAATCTGGATGTATAAGAAGGGCGCCTTGAAACCGTGACAACATCCTATCGTCTGAAGGGACTGTTGCAGGCAGGCCCCGAGGCATGGCAACGAGACGTATTGTCTCGTTCCCTGTTCTCAGGGAACATAGGTTACAGTCGTAGCCTGAGACGTTCCCTTTCGAAGGGAACTCAACAATACGTCGAATGACGCAATGGGGAACGAAATACCCACTCCGCCATGCTGAGGGGAGTGCATGCCGAAAAGGCAGTGACAACTGTCAGAACCAGTAATTCCAAGGAACATTGAAACCACTCACCCTATGTTACATCGGGCTGTCAGTGACATCACTCCCTACCGGTCATAGCCCAAGCTAATGAACCAAGAAAAACCAGAACGTAATAACGTGGGTAAATCGGGGCCAGCTCAAAGGCTTTAGGACCACAACCTCACAATAGAAGGGGTCCTTTCTAGGGAGTGTGGCTAGGGGGCCAAAGGGACCCCCAGCCAGTCACTATTCAGGAGAACACTCCTCCTGAAATGCCCCCAGGCTGGCCTGGTGATCTGTACTAAGACACACAGTCTGGCCATAGCCTGTCCGTCCAAGACAGAGCCTCTGGAAATTGCCTAGGAAAGGCATCCAAAAACTGAAGGCCCGCGAAGCTGGCAGAAACCATCAAGTTTCGGATCACAGAGATGGGATCCTCCGGAGAGTGTGACTCAACCTCAAAACAACGGGAATCGTACACTCAATCCACGAGTTTCCACCCAGTGCTCGCTTTGAGCACTGAGGAAGTAAGAGAGGGATCAAAACCAGGAAGGTCAATGAGACCTAAGGCCTGATGACCCCCTGAGTGGGGAGCTCTGAAACATGAGGGCTCATGTCAGGAAGGCCGTACATTGTGCGGCCTGAAACACAACGACCACAGCATGTGGAAGCTCATCCTTCAGGAAAGCCAGAGGCTAGAAACCTGACAGACCCACAATATGGGGCTACCTCGAAACAGGTCTAATGAGACCTAAAACCACCAGTTGTGGGAGATAGCTTGAACAAGGGAAGTGCCTGTCGTAATGTATTGAGATAAAGACACATCTAGAGTGGGACCCAAAGTGAAGAACCGGAGTCTGAACCACATAAGAAGGGACCGAAGCATACTGTGCGTGACCCTCACCATAAGAAATGGATTTTAAAAAGTGCACCAGACATCTCGTTGGGTGACTTACCACAATAATAGGTGAAGTATGGGTTTGTGTACTTCACTCTGAATTCAGGAAGGCCTGTTGAGGCCTGTAACCTGGCGACCACAGTATGCGGGAGCTCGTAACCTGGCGACCACAGTATGTGGGAGCTCATAACCAGGAAGGCCTAGTGAGGCCTGTAACCTGGCGACCACAGTGTGTGGGAGCTCATGACCAGGAAGGCCTGTTAAGGCCTGTAACCTGGCGACCACATTGGGTGGGAGCTCGTACTCAGGAAGGTCAGTGAGACCCAGCCCGGTGACCACAACCTGTGGGAGCTTACTCCACCAAGTGGAGGCTACTTCTTCCAAAAGTTAGCCAGAGAAGGGCGTCCCTGTAGCCTACTTAAGTGACAGGACGCCTCCTAAAGTGGGACCCAAGGGAAGACCGGGGTCTGACCCACATAAGAAGGGACTGAACCATACCGCGCGTTAGGGGTTGAACCGACTAGTCGATTAGTCGACTAGTCGACCTTAATGCAATGCCGTGACGCTTTAAGCTTGAAGTCGACTAGTCGCGTTGATCACGTGTTACTGTGATTGCGCTAATTTTGATAGTATATGGCTGCGTTGCAGACGACAACAGATGAAGAGCCCAGAGGGTCATTGCAGCAAGAAAGCAGCATTGGTATATAAAGCGTATGAAAATACTTTACTAACGTAGCACCACTATAGGCCTATTGTTGAAAACGAAAGTAAAAACATGACGCGCGCTCGTCACTGTTTTACCGGGAAGTGAGAGCAGTCTCTTTTAAAATCATTCAAACATAGCCTATGTTTTTCATATATTTATTTAAACATATTAATGCATCTCTAATTCACCCGCAATCAATTGGAATATTATTTTGGATTAGGTCTACTTATATCACTAACGTGCAGATGTGAATTTATAGCTTTTTTCTCTTTTCATCCTAAATGATGATGTAAACAACGGGCTGTTTAGCTTCATTTGGCCACTTCACGTGTTTCTGTGATCTGATTGCTATCCGATCGTGAAAAGACCAGGTTGCCCTCCGAAACGCATTCGAGACGGATTTAAATCCGATCGCTCAAACCACTTGGAGGTCTGGGCCGCTTTACAAACGAAACTGGACACGTACATGCATCTGGTTTTTGAAACCGCATGTGTAAATTGGACTTCTCCCAAAAATGCTGAAATAAAACGTGTGAGAGCAGCCTGTGCTATTATATTAATGACGAAGCTATAACACGCACCGCAGCTGAGCATAAAGCCAACGTACAAACAAACTATCGTAAATCAAAGTGAAAGTAAGTCACAGACGCTTAACAAACAATCATCTTCGTTAAAAGTAAAGAAACAAAATTATCTTACCAGTGCTGTCTCTCTCAGTGCGGTCTTTGATTTGAAATTAGCTGACGATCAATAAAATGCAGCTCATTACTGTTGCTTTCGGTGATGTGAACTCTGTTAAATCTGCATATAGCGCGTTGTTTGAAGATCGGATTTATATCCATTTTTCAAAAACATATTTATGTGACCAGGTGTAAATGGAATCGTTTTGATAAATCAGGTCAGTAAAAACGCATAGTGTCCAGGTGTAAACGGCCCCATTATGAGCTGTCAGCGTACTTCACTCTGAATTCAGGAAGGCCTGTTGAGGCCTGTAACCTGGCGACCACAGTATGCGGGAGCTCGTAACCTGGCGACCACAGTATGTGGGAGCTCATAACCAGGAAGGCCTAGTGAGGCCTGTAACCTGGCGACCACAGTGTGTGGGAGCTCATAACCAGGAAGGCCTGGTGAGGCCTGTAACCTGGCGACCACAATGTGTGGGAGCTCATAACCAGGAAGGCCTGGTGAAGCCTGTAACCCAGTGACCACAGCATGTGGGAGCTCATAACCAGGAAGGCCTGGTGAGGCTTGTAACCTGGCGACCACAATCAGTGGGAGCTCATAACCAGGAAGGCCTGGTGAGGCCTGTATCCCGGCAACCACAGTATGTGGGAGCTCCCACAGATGTCTCTCCGTGGCCACCATAGCACTGACGGAACAGCAGATTGCTTGGTGGCCTGGAGTCCCGCAGCAGATCAGTCTGGTAGGCCTGAGGACGACAAGGGCGTGCAGAACCGCACCTGCCTGACCTGCTGCCGTGTACGCTCTGTCATTCAAGCATGAAGATGTCTTGAGCAGCTTGGATGACAGGGTCAGAGCTCTTAGTGAAGAGGACCAACCAGAGACGAGATAGTTAACCAACGTCTCGTCCACTGGCGGCATCGACACATGTCCGTGCTCCACGGCTCCCTCCACAGCAGCGAAACTAGCCCGCTGATGCAGATAGAGACGTGAGGAGAACGGATTCTTCCATACCCTCTCAATCCCAGCGTGGAGATCAGAAAGGAACGGAAGGCTCATCCGGGCTGGTGGCTTATGGGTGGGGAGGAACCAGCCATCCAAAATACCATGAGCGGGTTCCTCCCAGACGCGCCTCCACTGCAACTGCAATCTGTCTGTGGCGCGCCCCATAATGTCAACCAGCTCAGCGTACACTGGGCAGGAGGGCTGAAATGGTTCGGTCTCAACCAAACTGACATCCTTTTCTATATATATATATATATATATTAGGGCTGGGAAAGTTAACGCGTTAATCTCTGCGATTAATTTTACATGTTTAACGCATTAAAATAAATTAACGCAATTGACGCAAGCCAATCGCGTCCGTTTAAACAACTTCCTGTTGTGACAGAGGAGTGTGCTAACTGAGCGAAATCACACTGCACGATGATGGAGAGCGATAACGGTGGAGTTTTAGATGGAAAGTTTACATTTAAAAAATGTCCTGATGGCACAGACAGAAAAGTGGTGGTGTGTACAATTTGCAAAGCCGAATTTAAATACCACCGGAGCAATTCGTCTTTACTATACCATTTAAACGCAAAACACCCAGGTGTTCTTGCCGCAACTAGCGAGGCTACAGGAGGGTCTCGCCAATCGACCATGCTGGATTACTGTAGGCCTCGTGGCGGGCCGATGAACAAGTCTGTAACTGAATCTTTAACCGATTCTATTGCTAGATGGATAGCTAGAAACTGCCGCCCAGTTAACACGGTAGATGACGAGGGACTACGAGAAGTAATTCAAATTGCATCGGGAGACACTTCTTACAATCTACCATCTAGAAGAACGATTGTGTCGAGAATACACAATTTGTATGACAGCGAGAGGGCACGGAGGATGGACATGCTTGAGAACGCAACGAACGTCGCCCTCACAGGAGATCACTGGACGTCTGTGAGCAATGACAACTACTTAGGCGTCACAGCACACTTTATAGATGAGGAGTGGAGTTTCCGTTCATTTGCCCTTACTGTGAGTCAAACCACCGAGCGCCACTTTGCGGAGGCATGCGCTGATCATTTTTTGGAAGTTGCCAAATATTGGAATGTGGAGAATAAGTTAACAACACTTGGGACTGACAGTGCTCGGAACATGACAGCAGCTGCGAGACTACTACCATTTGAACACCTGCCCTGTACAGCCCACTGCGTTCAAAGAACTGTAACTGTTTCTCTTCACGACTGTGGATTAGATGGTATTTTGGCCAAATGTCGCAAAATTGTGGGGCACTTTAAGCACAGTCCATCAAATGCTCAGGAATTAGGAGAACAGCAAGTTGCACTTGGACAGAAGCAAGAACCGCTTGTACAGGACGTCCCAACCAGGTGGAATTCTACCTTAGAGATGGTCAGGCGGATCCTGCGAAACAGATTGCCACTGTCCACTACTCTGTCTCAGCAGAACAGCAAAATTGCCATGTTGACATCACAGGAGCTTGCTAAACTGGAAAAGGTTGAAGAACTACTTGAACCTTGCAGGTTAGTTTATTTCTCTCTCTATTGTTTGTCTCTCTATATCTGTGTTTCCTCTCTGTGTTTGTCATGCGTATGTGCGCGTGCATATGTGTGAGTGTGTGTGTGTGTGCATATGTGTGTGTGTTTTAGGGCTGTCAGTTTTTTATCCGATATTCGAATATGCATTCGAACATGACGTGAAATGTCCGTAAACTAACTATAAATAAACTATCCCTTTTTCAAAGTGCCATGTTTTTTTTTTTGCAATATATGATTAGACCGTTTGATTTATTTTATTGTTTACCATCTCATTCAGTAGCAGGCTCTAAAATATGTGTGTGCCAGGCACGTCTGTGCACTCAGAGTGCGTGTTCTCCACCGCGGAGAACATCATCAATATAAAGAGCCGCACTTGATCCAGATCAAGTTGATGGACTGGTGTTTCTAACAAACAATATTAAGAAATGAATTAGCTGTGTAAGTTGTCACGTTATTTTATGTTCCTATTCTGTTTTTTCCATGTAACCTTAGCTTAATTTTGTGATTGTCTATGCATAGTGTGGTAACACTTTATTTCGATAGTCCACTTTAGACATTCAACTAACTATAAGTAACTTTTCAACTACATGTCAACTAACTATCATTAGAGTATTAGTAGACTGTCAGCTTAATATCTGCTAACACTTTATTTTATTGGTCCCTCAACAGACATTCAACTGACTGTAAGTAACTTAGCAACAAGAAGTCAACTTGTTCTCCTAACCTGAACCCTAACACCTAACCCTAACCTAACAGTCTACTGACAGTCTACTACAGCCTACTAATACTCTAATGACACTTAGTTGACATGTAGTTGAAAAGTTACTTATAGTTAGTAGAATGTCTAAAGTGACTATCGAAATAAAGTGTAACCCATAGGGGCACTTCATATAGATTAAGTTGATAGTCTGCTGTTTCAAACATTAAGTCAAACATGTGTTTTTTAGACAGGCTATGGCCGGAGAGTTATTATTATGACAGCCAGACTGTTAATGCATTTGTGCATTTTTTTCCCCGTAGATATACAAATACATTGCTTAATATTTGATATTCGTTCGAATTAGATTTTTCTCAAAAGTGACAGCCCTAGTGTGTTTCGTACCCCTTTGAAAATTGTCTCTGTGTGATCTGACTTATTGTGTGTGCCACTGTATAATTAAAACAATTTACTGACATAATTACATCTTGTACTTTCCTCTGCAGAAATGTGACTGAACTCCTAGGGGGCGAGCAGTACATTTCTTGTTCAGTGGTGTTACCAGCATTTTGCCACTTGTTCCGGGTTATGGAGCCATCAGATGATGATCCAGTCTATGTGGTGAGGTTCAAGAAGGTGTTTACCACAGACCTAGCTAAAAGGAAGGAAAGCACCAACCTCAAATGGCTGAAGATCGCTACTGCTCTCGACCCCAGGTTTAAAGATTTGAAGTGTCTTCCTAAAGACGAAAGGCATGAGGTGTGGACCTCAATAAGCAGCCTGGTAAAGGAGGAGAGGCTGGCACAACAACCGTCAACAGAGACAACAGGAAAACAGCCAACAAAAAAGACAAGGATGTCTGAGTTCTTGCTTTGTTCATCTGATTCAGATTCAGATGATGAAGATTCTATAGACAAATGTCTGAAACGCTACAAATCAGAGCCCAAAATCAACATGGACCAGTGTCCACTGCAGTGGTGGTCATCAAGAGAAGGAGCACATGTTCTAATGGCACGCATAGCACGCAAATACCTGTCCACACCTGCAACCACAGTGCCCTGTGAGAGGTTGTTCTCACTCTCAGGCCACATTGTCCAAAAGAAGAGAGCTTCCTTGTCTCCTGATAATGTAAACAAACTGGTCTGTCTTAGTTGCTGGCTCAATGCAAAAGAGTAGGCAAAATGTTTTGGCAAAATATGTAACATTCTCCTTGTGTTATTCGTTCTGCAAAGGCTGTTTGGTGCGACATGTTTGGGGCATAAAAAAAAAGTTTTTGCTTTGGATTAAGTTCTAACCATTTTGATGATCTTGGTAGTTTAAACTTACACTTTAACATTTTGTTTAATTATATTGTTGGTGGATATGAAGAAATTGCTTTTGGCTTATTGCCTTACTTTATAAGATGATTTAGGATTTCTGATCAAATTCAACTTACACTTATACACTTTGTTTTATAATGTTGCACTTTATGGGAATTACCCATACTAGTTCCCAGGAGAGAACGTTTACAGTTCATAAGATCATTGTAATAAAATGCTCTGTTTAAACTATACTTCATTGTGTAAATGTATCATTTTTAACGTATAAGTATTGATAACAAGCTTTGGGAAAAAATGCGATTAATTGCGATTAATCACAGCAAGTTGTGCGATTAATTAGTTAAATTTTTCTAATAAATTCCCAGCCCTAATATATATATATATATATTACAGCCAACTCCTGCCCTGCCCGAAGAGAACAGTTACAGATTCACCAAAGAGAGAGAGCGCTCATTTTCTCTGTTCTTAGATGTTCAACGTTAATCTGTAACTCACCCTCGTCAGCTGGTAGATCATCCGCGAGGTTAACGCCCCTCTCCCGATAATCTGCCAGCTCCATCTGAAAGCTCCACGAGCTCAACCGCCACTGAGCCTCAGCCCGAGCGGGAACCGGAACCGCGGGGTTCAGATGCCGCGCCCACTTCCCTCGAGAAGTGGGTCAGACGAGAGCAGAGAGTTCTGAAAGGAAAACTCTCAGTTCGCGCAAAAAACTCCCTCGAGAGCTTCCCGCGAATGCTCTTCTCTCAGGCAGAACACGCACAGATCGTGTGAATCCTCCAGTGTCAAATATCTGGACACAAGTCGGCACACTCGTGCAAAGTGTTTCTCCACGTCTCTGTGCGCTTAATCGTTGATACTATCACACAGACAAACAGTCCCTGAAGACGAAAAGATGTTGTCACGGTTTCAAGGCGCCCTTCTTATACATCCAGATTGACGCGCTCATCATTCAAGCTGATGATGCACGGGCTGTCGCCGGTCAACCTGATTACTGTGAGTTGATATTTGATTTCAGACACCTGTCACGCCTGAGGCGTTCCCCATTGCGTCATTTGACGTATTGTTGAGTTCCCTTCGAAAGGGAACTAACTTTCCTGTCCTGTCAGATGTTACTGAGCTGGTAACATCTGACAAGCCCTGTATATCACTTGAATGTAAATAAAGCGCAAAAAAAAACTACTAACTTATGCAACGTAAATTAGTAAACCATGAAATTACAAAACAGTAGTAAATTACGTGCCTGCTAAGTTACTTGTGATAGCTTATTTTATAAAAATGCCAGAAAAATGTTGGACTATTCCCTAAGTCAGGCTGGCTCTATGTATTTATTTTAAGTAACTAAGACCCCATTTACACCTGGTATTAAAATGCGATCTGTATCCAGATAAGTTATCTGGATAATGAGCAGGAGGAGGAGATGGCGGGCGAGTTGCGACATGCGACGGGAGCGTAGACCACCTTGCCGGTTGATACTGTATACGCAACAGTCGCAGTGTTGTCCGTACGGACCAGCACATCCCTGCCCTGCAGCGGCCTTTTCAGACGGCGCAGAGCGAGGTGTACTGCTAGCAACTCGAGGCAATTGATATGCCAATGCAGATGAGGGTCAGTCCACACACCTGATTGTACCCGTTGTACGTGGCACGCCAGCCGGTGGCAGAGGCATCTGTGAATACCACAGCGTGCCTGGATACCTGTTCCAAGGGGACTCCTGCCCGAAGGAATGATGGATCTGACCACGGGCTGAAGGTCTGACCGCAGGCCGGTGTGATTGCCACCCGGTGAGTGCCATGATGCCACGCCCATCTCGGGACTCGGCCATGAAGCCAGTGCTGAAGCGGTCTCATATGAAGCAAGCCGAGCGGCGTTATCGCTGCTGCCGCTGCCATATGCCCAAGGAGCCTCTGAAAGAATTTCAGTGGGACCGCCATCCTGCCCTTGAACGTTTTCAAGCAGTCCAGCACCGACTGAGCGTGCTGCTCTGTGAGGCGCGCTGTTTGTGCGACCGAATACAACGCCATACCGAGAAAAGAGATCCTCTGCACGGGGGCGAGTTTGCTCTTGGCTGATGTGCCTGAGTACAAGGTCCCTGTGATCGCATAACTGATCTCGAGAGTGTGCTAGTATGAGCCAGTCGTTGAGATAGTTGAGGATGCGAACACCCTGTTCTCTCATGGGAACAAGGGCCCCCTCTGCGACTTTCGTGAAGACACGGGGGGACAGGGACAGCCCGAAGGGTAGGACCTTGTACTGATATGCTCGACACTCGAACGCAAAGCGCAAAAACGGCCTGTGTCGAGGGAGAATCGAGACATGAAAGTACGCGTCATTCAGGTCGATCGCTGAAAACCAATCTCGGGGACGGATGCACTCAAAGATGCGTTTGTGCGTGAGCATTTTGAACGGTAGCTTGTGGACGCTCCAATTCAAAACTCGCAGGTCCAAGATTACCCACCAACCCACCACCCACCAAGTTGAGTTGGTAACCCACCAACTTTCTTGGGTACAATGAAGTAGGGACTGTAGTGCCCTGACTTCATATCGGCTGGGGGGACCAGCTCTATCGCGTCCTTCGCCAGTAGGACTGAGATCTCCACGCGTAAGACATGGGCATCGGCTGCTCTCACTGTAGTGGAGTGGATGGCCCGAAACTTGGGGGGGGCGCCGGGTGAACTGAATAGCATAGCCAAGCCTGATGGTCCGGATGAGCTAGCGAGACGGACTGGGGAGCGCTAACCAGGCTCTCAGAGACCTTACAAGCGGGACCAAGGGGACTGTAGGCGTACCTGGAGTGGGGCAGCGAAGTGGAACACAGGGACCTGGCTGGGGGGGCTCTCTCTGGGAGGCAGCCCCCAACGGGGTCTGAGTGTGCTGTGAAGCGCTTACCTGGTTCCACGGGGCAGGAGGTGCGAGAGGCGGCTCGGTGGCGTTCTCGACCCGTACACTGCTGCCAGCTGGCGATAGAAGTGGAGGATGAGAGTGGTGAGGATTTTGTCCCCCCCACTGCTCTCCGAGTCCTCTTTGGACCCAGAGATGGTAGAAACCGCTCTTTTATTGAAAATTTGGGTACCAACAAGGCAGAACAAAACAAAACAAAAGATTTTCCACCCGGCCCTCTTCTGGCGGAGGGAGTGATGTGGCCATCACCTCCTGGAGAGCAGTTCCCGCCATCTCTGGGTTGCCCGCCCTAGGGCCGCTTGGTGTTGGCTTTGCCGCCCCTCTTGGCGGGGGCCTGGATGGGCGGGGCGTTCCGCCTGCGACCGGCTCCGCGGCGTCGCTTCGGCGGAGGCTGCTGCTGTGGCACGCCCCCGGTGACGAGCAGACTGAGGAGCCGCCGGTGGTGGGGTGGAGGCAGCAGCTGACCGCCGAGACAGGATGCGTTTGATGGCCTCAGTCTGCTACTGTACAGCCGAGAACTGCTGGGTGAAGTTCTCGACCGCATCGCCGAAGAGGCCGGTCCGGGACACGGGGGCGTTTTGGAACCGGAGCTAGTCGGTCTCCCGCTTGTCAGCCAGACACAGCCAGAGATGGCGTTCCTAGACCACCATGGTGGACATCGCACGGCCCACTGAGCGAGCGGTAACCTTCGTCGCACGAAGCGTGAGGTCCGTCGCCCGCCGGAGTTCTTGGAACACCAGTGGGTCGTGACCACCCTCGTCCAGTTCCGTCAGTGCCTTGGTCTGATGGACCTGGAGTAAGGCCAAAACCTGCACGGCAGAGGCAGCTTCCCCACAGGCCTTGTAAGCCTTGCCGGTTAAGTTCGACGAGTACTTACAGGCCCGGGAAGGGAGACACGGATCTCCGCGCCAAGTGGAGTTAGGGCACAGTTGCATAGCAACGGCCCGCTCCACCGGTGGGATGCGCGCGTAACCCTTAGCTGCCCCGCTGTCAATGGTGGTGAAGGAGGAGGAACCACTGGAACGGTTTCGGGCAGTAAAAGGTGCCATCCACGTCCCAGTGAGCTCCTTATGCACCTCCGGGAAGAAAGGCACCGGGAGATACCAATCATCCAGCCTCGAGGGTTCGGGACCCGGTGGAGGGTTCCCCACGAGCCCGACCCTCTCGGCGGCCGGGGAAAGCATCGGGCACCGCTGGCACCCCCGAATGAGGCAGCGGCTCCAACACGTCGTCCGCAGAGACATCTGACCCACCCTCCGATGCCGCGATCAACATCTGTTCATCGCCGGGAGCGCCAAAGGAAACGGTTGGTACACACCTCGTGGATGGTCCACCGCCCTCCCTTGGCAGCTCACATGGTTGCGGAGACTGAGAGGAGTGAGGGTTCCTAGGGGGTTGGTTCCCCGAAGGAAGCGCGCTCTCTGTAATCCTCAGGTCCGTGCCATCCGTGCCAGCGTCCGAAGCAACCCTCACAGGAGGATTGGAACGGGGCGCCGGCACGGGGACTCCGCCCCTTTGCAGGAACGAGAGTCTCAACCTCAGCTCCGAGATGGTCATCTTCCCACAATGGGTACATGACTCATCCACAAACGCTGCCTGTGCGTGTTGTAAGCCCAGACACACAAGACAGCGTTTGTGAGCATCCTGCGATCCCAGGTAACGACCGCATCCGGAAACACACAGATACAATGTCATCTTTAAAAAGACACAAACTATCTGTATAAGCTCTTTTAGGAACTGCTCTTGCAGACACTGAGACACACAGGGGAACAGCTGATGCGGACACGGGCAGGAATGTGCACCTGCACATGTGCTGGTTCTCTCTCAGTCTTTTTACCAGCTGTGAAAACAGCTTTTGGTTTTGCTCTTTAGAGAGAGAGAGAGAAAGCTGCTCGCGCTGAAGTGCCGTATCACCCGTGCCACGAAGCGAGAGATCTTCCAGAAGGCTTGCTTGAAAAGATTTAGCTCTGAGCAGTGGCATGAAGCTTTGGCTCCGAAGCAAAAAGCTGAAGTGCAATCACACAGCC